GAGAGGTCTCGAACGTCATTTCATAACGGACATGTAAGTTCTCTTTCTTGATACCAGAGATGAATTTCTCAGACATGTGGAAAAGTTGCTTGAGAGTCTTACAGAAATGCTTTCTTTCGGCCTCTAAAGCTTTGTTTTCTATACGTGCAGTTTCAAATTCAAAACGTACTTCCGACGAGTGTCCGGGAGATTGGGGAAAATGCGTTAAAACACGTCAAGAACACTTTTCAACTAAAAAAACCATACAAGAGGTTAATGCAGACCCTATCCCAAAACTGTATTAACTATGAATGTTTGGTACCGCATCTAAACAATGTGTTCCTTGATATCCTGGGCGGTTCCATCTGCAAACTTCATCATTGTGAAGTAGGCAACTAAGAAGACAACAGTAGTTGCTTTTTCCTTGACAGTCGAGGTAGTAAAGGTATCAACGACTGGAGTGGAAGGCAGGTCAACTTCGGCGGTCATCAAGATGTCGCCTCCAGCATTCCTTCGATGCTTTGCGATGCTGACCTTGTTTCATAGAACATGTTTACGTGATCCTCAAGTAATCGCGGCATCTTTATGGTCACAATGATCTTATCACCATCAAGCTCAACCCAGTACCTCTCTTTGTTGTTGTAGTAGCCAGAAGGCAGAAGCATTTCAGCCGCGAGCATGTGGTCACCATTATTGTTAACAAAGGGGACAAAATTTGTGGTGGGTTTGAAGGTATTGTCGGCCTCGATGTCGTCACTTGTGGGCGAACCACCTAGAATCTTTGCTCTTTTGGGTGCAGGAGTCAAGGGCTAATCATCTTCAACATCGTCCTCAGTTAGGTATGCTTTGAGAATCATCCGAATAGTAGTAATGTTAGGGCCGGGTGACATTGCTTCCATCAAGAATGATCAACAGTACCATCCAGCTCCTCTTTTTTCCATCTCTTAATTCATTTCGGAGTTTGTACCAGAAGGTTCTGAAAGTTCCTTGTGGAAAATTGCCTGTATCACCAACGGCTTTTTTCTGGACCAATTTTGCCTGATTTCCACAGCGTCAAGATCTTTGGCACAAAACGGCTTTCCCAGACGCTGCGCTTCTGGTCGTTTCTTAGTGCTGGCAGCTTACCTTCAGGTTTCGGCATGCTTCTTTCAGAAGAATGTTGGTTGGCAAAGATCGTATGTGCTATTCTATGAGCCTATGTAAAGCATTGCCATTCGTCTGTTGTAAAAAAAATAGTGTCTTGTCGACTTCGTTGTGTCCCACCAAAAACGACCAACATGTTCTATTTAGATTTTCAAAAATCTCGCTCCCTCCGACAATTCCCTAAGAATCTCATTCTCCCTCCCATTTTCCTTCCTCGATTTATTCAGGAGATTCTCATGTCTGGGACCACGTGAATTTCTGATGTGAATTCACGTCAGTGCATACGTGACCTTCTTCCTGGGTGCAGTCATCGCAAATTTCTATGACTGCATGGAAATATGCAAACGATTATGTCATCATCAATGGGATTGCACCATAAGTATCTAAAAGCCAGCCGCAAATGGTTGCAACTGTTCTCAAAACATTTTAAAACGTTTTCAAAAAAATGACAAACTTCAAGAGCTGTTTTCTTGCATCACAGTTGTTGTTACTACATTTGGACACTTTTAGTAGTTGAGTAGTTGAAAATCTGTTGCCGCAGTGTTGAGTTACGGGCTTTTGAAGTTTGTGTTTTTTTCCCGATTTTCGAGTTTTGACAAAGTCTACGTGCCGTATTCTCCATACTGTGTCGATCAAAGCTTGGGAACGCAAAGCAGCAGCAGTCTTGGGTGAAATGAAAAGGTGGAGACGCTGAAGAGACGCGCAACAACACTCTTGCTGTCAAGAAAACGGAGGTCCAAGTATGGGACTTTGTCGTCGACTGGTTTTTTGACGTTTTTACGACGTTTTAAAACGTTTCGTTGACGCTTCAACGACGAATTTTTGACGGTTTGCAAAACACTTTGGTGGTACAATAGAGACTTTTCTAGCATTTTTGTTGGCACATATCGGATAAATGGGGTTTGCAAATCAGCTCACGACTACCAGCTTCTACGTACGTGTACATGTCGTCAGCTGGAACCAAATCCGGGCTATTTTTTTCAAAAAGCAAATCAAAATATATGAGGGGAGAGTTTCAGGGGATATGAGAGACTCGCGAAACACCCGTGCTTAAAATAATAATCAGGAAGATCCAGTTCTACCGGTAGATTGGATGGTCCTGGATCATCAAATATAAAGAATAAGCAAACTGAAAACATTCTATACCAGCCACTTACAATCTGATACCCAAACCTGCTTTTCCAGAATGGACGCAACCAAACCAAACTACTGCAGCTCCAGTTGAACAAGTTCTGGCCTTCCTAGAGAATGTGACAGTATATTGGCAAACCGGAATGACTAGCGCTACATGTTGATGGAAACGTATAATAGTAGATCTAGCTTGATTCTCTATTGACTATAATTTTGTCTTCAACAGTAGTATAGTGTCGTCTTGTCATTGTTCAAGTCAAGTCACTGTCTCCGCACTGGCAGAATCAATCAAGCCCTCATTTTTTTATTTCATTCTCTCGTCAGAATTTTTTTCCACAAAGAACTCTGCAAGCGTCTTTCTATACGATAGTAGACAGCTTCGTTCAAAACACTGGCCTGGAGAAAAAAAATTGGCCACAACGGAGCCCAGTCGGGATTCTGCGTTTGTTGTCGTTTTTGAATCTTTCTCAACCAATGTTGATTATTGTGTCTTCGATCTTTGCATACACATGTAGTATATTTGCGATGAAATTGAGCCTTGCGTTCGCCCTTTACGTTTCTACCCAAACAACAAGCCGATTGATGCTTCAGGTCCAGATAATCAGCAAATTGCACAGGCTCGTTGTCGCAAGCCTCAGAGAAGTGTATACTTCACTAGAATCGCAGCGATAATCTCAACTGGTAGATTTGACTGCTCTCTCATGCCTTGATTGACCTTTCCATGATGATGTCGATTCAATCACAATATGATGCGATCAAGTTGTTAAAACCACTTTCCAACAAGCGCGAAGTTGGGGGATGGTTGCACTTCTATCGATCCGTAGGACCTTTCGTTCGATTGCATGTATCTCCAACAACAACAAAAACCTGACTCCAAATCCATAATGCTGGCGTATTATCGCAGCTTGCGTGAAGCTGATGATTCATTCTCCGCTTGTAGTGCTGTTTGTTGTGCTGAAGTCTGCCGTTCTCGCTTCAGGCACCTGTCATGTCGTCATTTTTATCTCACTAGGTCGCAACTGTTGTGGTGCTGCTTGTTTGTTTTGCGGTTCCTTGGCTTTTGTCTGCAAGCTTGAAGTTGATGTGATGTCGATGCAAAACAATGACACATATTACAAAATGCTTCGGACCAGTGCAGCTCACGACAAAAGAGCTAGCGACATATCCGGGTTAGAAGTGCTTTATTTTTGATTTTCAAAAACTAATGGTCTTCCCTCCATCATATTCATATCTCACGATATTTCATGAGGAAAGCTGACGACACGTAGAGGTGGTACGAAAAATACGGCGGTTTTCAAAAATACCCAACCCCATTTAAAAAATATGAGCCCAAAAATGCACCACGTGTCTCATTTGCACCACGGCGGCCACTACGGTTTCGCGCTAGAGGGAAATCTGACATTGACACAAAGTGACATGCCGGCGCGATATGGCTTGCCTTTCGTTCGTATGAGTCGAACCTGTTTGGTTGGATGTCCGTCTGGCTTGCGTACGCTTGATTTGACAGAAAAATGTATGGAGAAATGGTGAAAAGTAATGTACCTGGTACACCTTCATTTAAATTAAAAAACTATGCGGACGTCAGCCGACTTCTGCAAAATATCTTGCAAAACTAATACCGCGATAATAATATCTTGTCAAACGCTACAATACACTATTCCTTGTTTGGGTTAGTAGGAATTTATCAAAATGTTTTCTCAGAAACTAATTAGATACAGTAAGAAAAAACAATGGCACCATATCTGCACCATATCCTCATTAGTATGCCAACAAGGTAAAGTAGGCTCCAACATCTCTGAAAATGCCCAAAACTACATCCTTTGCAGTAGGGATCTGATTGAAATTTCCTCTTTTGATGGCTGGGCCACTTTGCACCAAGTTTGGACTGTCTTCCTTAGATGGGGAGAAGAATTGCCGTACTTTCTTCATTGGCTTAGATGAGGAGAAGAACTGCCGTGCTTTGCTGCTGCTGTCGCCATTGCCTTTGTTGAAACCAGCATTGCTGGTATGGAGATCCACTGGCTCCAATCGTTCTCCGACCTATTCATCACATGTGACGGGATCATCATCGAAGAAACGTTGATGAAGGCGCTTGCAACATCTACAGTGATGATTAACGATGCAATTGTCAATGCTTACCTTGCTCTCCTTGTTCAAAAGTGCCATTACTCTGGGAAAAGAAGGAATGTTAAGGCAAAAAACTCGGGAATGTGGCGGACACAAGACGGAAGAAAGAAAGTGGAATCTTACCTGGCGCGTACAAGCCACCCTGTCAATCTCTTTCCTGTATTCTTTGGAAGCCGGAATGCTGGACATTGGGCAGCTCTCATTGCTTGCAATGAATGTTTTCCTGCAGAAGAAAAACGAAAGTATATCTTTATTGACAGCTTGGAGTATTCAAGGCAACATAATTTCCTTGCAGTGAAACAAATGTTGGGTGCTGAGGAAGATGATCCCGATTTCGTGATAATAAACTCACCTAACCAGGCCCTGGAATCAAACGATGGCGCTGTGTACACCCTTGCAGCATGCGCTCACTACGTGTTGCAAGATGGCAACCGGTTGCCTTCCTCATTCCGATTCCAAACTGATTGGCAGAGCTTGGAGGCGCCATGTATTCGAATCCCTTGTGAATGAGAAGATCAATATGGAGGATCCAGTTCTTTCTTGGATGGAACTGCAATATGAAGCATAACATTAAGCAAGTTAGAAGCATTAGACATAGCCTTTGGCGCCAGCATGACGTTGAGTGTACTCACAACTCCTTGATGAATTGGTGAAGCTTTTTGCCAGATGCAGGGGGCGCTGTATAAGCTACATGGTAAAGCATAATCAAATGCATTCCTTTCGGTAGTAGTAAGCAGTGCAGTAGCAAGATACAATCCCACTCCGCTGCTGCTGCTTTCAAAGAATGTCGACCGAAGCGAATTTTGGATCAAATGTTGGAATCAACACGTTCTCTTTTCAAAGCTTCACACTTTCTATAAGAACAAGTGATTTAGACACAGGTTCCGTCCATGATCACTCCGTACCGGTCCAGGTCGATATTTATTAGAAGGAGAGATTCTTGCCAAATCCGTAAAATGCTGCCGCTGATTTGTTGACTGGTGATTGATAATCCATGAGCTGTTTTCTTGAAGCTGGCTGTGCTGCACCAGTCTCATCCTTGACTCCGATGCGTTTCTTCCATGATTAGTCGCACTTGTTGAGGGGCTGGTGTTTTCGGCACGTCCTTTGTTGCCAATCTTTTGATTGTGGTGATGTTGATTGGAGCAATGACGTTTGCAAAATTGAAAATGCAGCTCACGACAAATCACATCGCGACATATCCGGGTTCAAAGTGCTTAATTTTTGATTTTCAAAAACTATTGGTCTGCCCTCCCATCCTGCTCACATCGGATGGAAATTCTGCGATGATATTGGCGACACGTAGCGGCAGTAGGAAAAATACGGGGATTTTCAAAAATACCCGACCCCATTTATGAAACATGAGCCTTTTTGTTAAGTACCCTTGAAAGGCGTAGGAGACACTGAAATGCAGAATTTGACAGTACAATACCTACAGACATCACACGTAGAATGTGAAAGCAACAAAAACACATGACGGCGTTTTGACGACGTTTTGACGACGTTTTGTTGTTTGAAGTTGTTTTTTTTGCACACACAAGTTGTTTTCGTCGCTGAATACCGCTGGATGCACTAGCCTTCAACCATTTTTCAACATGGTATCTGTCCACGAACTCATCTCCATCTCAGAAGCCATTCTCTCTGGTCGAGAGAGGAAAAGAGGCCGCAAACGGGCGTGCGCCGAAGAATCTTTTGTTGCACTGTTCAAGGTCACGCCATTCGTTGCAATGGAAGTGTGGGAACATTTGCAAGAACATACGAATATTCCTTGGCAAATCAAACCAAAGCATTTTCTGTGGACTTTATTTTTCTTGAAGCATTGTATGACAGAAAGATCAGCTGCTGTCTTGCTTGGATGCGATCGAAAGACCTATCGATATTACATCTGGTGTGTAATTGATTATGTTGCGTTGTTGAAAGATAAGGTGGTAAGTTCTATTTTCAAGTTGAATGCTGCTTTGTGGAAGTCTAGTAAATAATTTTGGCTGACAATTTTGCATGGTTTCAAAACAACCCAGATCCTTTGGGAGAACAGGCTTGAAAGCAGTGCCGCTGCTAAAGTTTCTGTTGATGGTACAGATTTTCGTACTGTGGAGTATTATCCATTTGATCCTTGGCGGTGCTCCCATAAGTTCAAATGTGCTGCGCTGAGATATGAAGTTGCAATCGCAATCAAGACTGGCTTCATTGTTCATGTGAAAGGTCCCTTCAAGGCCGGAACTTGGACTGACAAAAAAATCGTCAAATTGGAACTCCATGGGAAGCTTGCGCCTGGCGAATATTACCTCGCAGATGGCGGATACACCAATAAAAATGCCCCTGTCATCACCAAGAACACAATTCCACAACACGAAAGGGCCAAGATGAACGCGATCATGGCAAGGCATGAGACAATCAATGGGCGATTCAAAGACTGGCAAATATTGGAGAATAGGTTCCGCCATGGAGAACACCGCCATCGTGGTGTGTTTACTGCGATTGCTGTAATTACACAGGTTGAAATTGAAACGGGTATGCATGTGTTTGGCGTTTCAAAACATAATATATGGTACTGTTTTATTAAGATGATACATATAAAGGAATACAATAGCAAAATAAAATATAGTGCTCTGAAATATTGAGCATTTATCATCGTGATGTAACAAAAAATAAAAATGGTTTTTGTCCAACCGCACACTCAAGAAGTCCAAAAGGAGGAGAGGTCACTCTGTCGCCCGTCACAACGAAGACCAATAACGCGTTAAAACGCGTTTTCCCCCATCTCCCCGGTTTTTTTGACATTTGTCCTTACGATTTTCCCGTCTTTTTTTACGTGTGTCCGGACACTTGACGAGTTTCTGACGAGTTTCCGACGAGTTTCCGACAAGTTTCTGATCGTAGTGGGGGAGGTGGACGGAGCGAAGAACAAAGTGACTATTGAACGAGCGCGGTGCGCGCAGCAGAGATCCCGCAGCGAGTCCTCAACAACAGCGATCGCATATTCTTGTCTTTTCTCCTTCCTAACGCATCAGGATCAAAGTTGTAAGACATGTCAACGTCGACTAGGCATAGAATAGAAAAAGTTTCAAGTAATCATGGCCGCGGCAACAGCACCAACGGCGCCGACTGTGGCAGCGCCAACAGCACCAGCAGCTGCACCAGCAGCACCAACACCACAGCTGACCGCTTACCATGAATTTTTCGGCAACACCACTTTGGACCCCCATCAACAAGACTACCAAGCGCTCATGCGAGCCTACAGAGTTTATGACACTCCTACACCTGCTCAATCGTTGTACAACAGCGCCGGACTGTCTACCTCCGCTTATCCCATGGCCTACCTGTCGCTCATCAATGACAATGGGAATTTGTTCTATCTATTGGTCCATGCACCAGCCTTCTACAAGTCACTGCCTGGGGTCCCAAGTCGCTGCGATGGAAAGACCTACGCGTTCACCGGCGATGTGGTGGCCAACACCATCACCACTGTAGAATTTCCACAGGACGCCTTTATGTCGCCAGGAACTGGAACAGAGGAAAACGTCCCAAAGGATCTGGAGCGAGCTCTGGACATTCTCCAGCTCAATCCGGACGACACCTCTATTGGACCGTTCCAGGACACGGATGCCAACATCAAACAAGCAAAGACCCGTCACTACATACCTCTTCCACACCGCTATGTGCATCTAATTCTGGGACGCCAAGTTCCAGTTTGAAAGGGTTTCATTGACTTGGCAGCAGCCATCAAAAACACTGGAGACGAAATTGAGTGCCCCGAGCTCACCAATTGGCTACTACTGTCACTGGTTAGAGCAGGAGCGGGCGCTCCACCAACTCTTGCCACAACATTGCCTGATAGACCTTTTGATGATGCAACGCCGAGAGCTGTTGGAACAGCATCTTCCGGGCCTGAAGGAAGCTTCACTTCCGTCTATGCTAGGAATTCAGCAGAGCCTGGCGCAATCAGTCAACGAACTGGTCCGAACCCAAACGGACGCCCAGACCGAAGCGACAGCACGAGACGCCAAGGCCAAGGCCCCCAAGAGTGTGGACGAATTCTTTGGTCCCATGCTCCACAAGCTCCTCAGCGTTCTCCACGTCCAAGACACTAGCCAGTGCCCACCTGTCTGGTCCGAATGGGCGTCTCAGCCCAAGAAAGCCGACCTCGACGTTTTGGAAACCGCCCTCAGGTCCCAAGCGAGCAGCGAAGCGACAGGGGGATTCGGAATTGTACCCATTGTCACTCCGGACTTGGTGAAGAAAGTGAAGGCGGTGAAACTCGGTGGCAACGACACTGACGACCTTGAAGAAGGAATTCACCCTTTCTCTATTGTCCTGCCGTCCTATGGAGGCTCCGATGTGGGAGTGACCAAGGCGGCCCGAGAAAGGGCAGCAGCTTACGCGGAAGTCCACGGGGGATCAGGGGCCTCTCTACAAGACGCCATCGCCTTGAGAAAGCCTACTGTCCACATCCCGGACACCTTCTCCAAGGCACGAAGTCATCTTATGGGCCTACTAACCTTGTGGCAAGTCCTGCTGCCATTCAGCCATCCTTTCCTACGAGCGTACGGAATGTTCCTACAGCAATACGTGCGAGATGAAGCCAACTTCACTGCCCTACTCGACAAGTTGCCACGACCAGAGCCAAAGCCGGCTCTTTTCTTGAGGGCAGTACAAGTCCGCATGGTTAACTACTGGCAGTCAGTGGAGAGCTCTATGTCCTATCAGCCGGATCCGCCCAACTTTGTTGACATCCTGGTACAGATCCGACAGCGCTCCGACAGCTGGATTGCTGCGCTTCCTGCCAACTACTGGAGCGAACCAGTTGCCCAATTACCTACAGCTCCCTGGAACGGGGGATACCTGCCCTACATGATGCCCCCAGGCATGGTCCCGATGTCTTCTGACAGCTCCGGTGCCTCCAGTCTCACACCTCATTCCGTGGGGTATCCTCCATTCTTCAATGGTTTCTTTCCACCACAGGGTGCAGGAATTAAGCCAGGCGAGGATGACCAAAAATCCAAAGGAAAGAACAGCCTCCAAGTGAAGAACTCCACACATGTTCCAGAGCTCGTCCAGTTCCGGAAATTGGCCCTTGCCACCGCTGTTCCAAAGGCTGAGCAGAAAGCTGGATCTCCGCCGCCTGAGATCACCCACAGTGGCACCAAGGTGCAAATGTGTGTTGGTTATCACGTCAAGGGAAAATGCTGGGAAAAGTGTCCTCGAGCGGCCGACCATGTGGCCCACTCCGCACAAGACACAGCAAAGCTTGTCGCGTGGTGCAAGGAAGCTTATGCTGAAGAATGAAACTTCGGCGGATGGTACCCACAGCTACGGTTCCCATCTAAGCCACCTGCTCCATCATCCAGCAACGTGATGGGGGCAGCGGCAACTAATAACAACACCAGTTTACCTGCCACTGTACCTCGTCTCCCAACCACTTCCACAATTCCGCCTTTCCGCCTCAGCACAAGTCCACCTGCACAATAGTTCCGCATCCACGATGATGAACTAGGTAAGAAGATTCGTATGGCCGTTCATGAATTTCAGCGAAGTAACTCCTGGGAGACGTTTGCTACGGCACAAAGAGGATCAGATCCAGATATTGCGCCCAATGTGAGGCATCTGGCACATCCAGCTGCACACCTCCTCGATCACCTTCGAAATCATGGCGCACCAATACCAATGTCTACACTACCTTGGAACACACAACGACGAGACAACGCCGTCGCCCGAGGTCCCCACAAGTCTGCAAAAGATGAAGTGTCCTTCGTCCGAGAAGAGTTCACTGATTTTCTCAACAAGAAATTCTGGACCATCCTACCCTATCGACTCGTGCGGCATCTACAGAACTTGCGACTCAGTCCTCTGGGCGTCGTTCCACAACGGGACAGACGGCCCAGACTGATAGTTGACCTTTCTTTCTTTGGCATCAATCAAGAATCCGTCCCAATCGCACCATCAGATTCCATGCAATTCGGACGTGCCCTTCACCGCATCCTACAACGAATCCTCCAAGCCAACCCTCTGCACGGGCCTGTTTACATCTCCAAGATTGACATTGCCGATGGTTTCTACCGCATTCAATTGGCACCTTATGCCGTCCCACATCTGGCTGTCCTACTCCCGCAACACCCCAACGAAGAAGCCATGGTTGCCTTTCCCCTGGTCCTCCCTATGGGCTGGGTCAATTCGCCACCATACTTCTCGGCCGTCACCGAAACTGGAGCGTACCTGATGAACCGACGCCTCAAACAGCGCCCCCAAGAGCCACCTCATCGCCTAGAAGACCTTGCCCTGTGTCCACCAGCACTTCAGAAGCCTGCTTCCAGCCTACCTCCGACAACCCACCGTGTGGATGACCCCATCGCCACGCCACCTTCCAAGCCCATCCATCAACCCCGGTTCCATCGGCCAATGCGTTACGCTGACGTCTACGTTGATGACTTCATCTCTTTGGTCCAAGGTACCGAGAACGACCGTCGTCAAGCCATGCGCACTCTTCTTCACGTGCTCGACACTGTTTTTCGACCTCGGGACTCCACCGGAGACCTCCCCTTTTGTCAAGAGCCGGCTTCCGTCAAAAAGCTCAAGAAGGGCGACGCCAGCTGGTCTACCAAGAATGTGGTACTCGGATGGCTCCTGGATTCTGTTGACAAAACCATCAGCCTCCCGCCACATCGAATTGAACGGCTGCAAACCATCCTGGCCGGCATTGGCCCCACTAAGAAGCGCATCAGTGCCAAGAACTGGCATCGGTTGCTGGGTGAATTGCGATCCATGGTGATTGGAATCCCAGGTGCACGCGGCCTGTTTAGCCCACTTCAAGAAGCCTTTCGAACCGAAACCCCGGACCATCGCCTTCGCCTGAACGCCATGGTTCACCAATTCCTGGACGATTTCCGTCAGCTGTCCACAACCCTTGCTGACCGCCCCACCAGGATAGCCAAGCTCATTCCTCAAGATCCGAGTGTTATTGGAACTACAGACGCTTCAGGGACGGGGATGGGCGGTGTTGCTTTTCTCAATACTCCCTCTGGTCTGCGACCCATACTCTGGCGGCATCGCTACCCCAAGCATGTCCAATCAAAATTGATAACCTTCGACAATCCACGGGGTTCGTTGAGCATTGGCGACTTGGAACTGTCTGCCACAGTGTGCCAACACGATGTCGTCACTACTGCTGCCGATGCTCGGGAGCACACCATCCACAGCTTCCACGACAACACAGCTGCCCAATTTTGGCAGCGCAAAGGCTCCACCACTACGACAGGACCAGCTGCCGCCCTGCTTCGCCTCCAGTCCCACCATCAACGGGTGTTCCGCTATGTACCGTTCCACGACTATCTCCCAGGACTCCTGAATAAAATGAGTGACGACGCGTCACGCCTGTGGCACCTCTCTGACGCTGCGTTCCTCGCTTATTTTAACTCTACGTATCCACAGATGAATTGCTGGGAGCTGCACCACGTTCGGCCGCCGATTCTTTCCGCCGTGATCTCGATATTAGCCAGCAAACAGTACGAAAGGGTGTCGTTCGAGGAACTCAAGATACTGCTGACGCGCACTGGGAGCTTTGGACCAAGTTCTGTGAAGAACTTGGACTCGACCCCCTCCTCCGCGTCCCTGATCCCGTTCAATTTCTCCAAGTCTTTGCCACACGCTACCGCCGTCGACCAGGAAAGGCACGGTTTCGAACGCCATACGCTCGGTGGGCCAGACGATGGCCAGCATGGGGGCCAGGGATGCTCGGAAAGACAGCACGGGTTCCATTGACTTCCGCCTGACTCGGATGTTAAAGGCCTACACCCGAGAGGACCCACCGCCTCATCGGGTGAAACCCATCCCAGTCGGTATCATTAAGTATATCGCCAACCAAAGTCGAAATCAACCTTGCAAAGTTCAGGCCATTTCTGACATGATCATCGTGGCTTTCTTTTTTCTCCTCCGCCCCGGCGAATACACAGGCACCACAAACGATGACACACCTTTCCGGTTCCTTGATGTTCAGCTCAAAGTCGGCGTACGCCACCTTGACCTTCTCACTACTACACCTGCTGAATTATGGGCTGCCACCAGTGTTGCCCTTACATTCACCACGCAAAAGAATGGTGTCCGTGGCGAAGTCATTTGTCACGGTCAGAGCGGCCATGATGTCCTCTGCCCCGTCCGCTCCATGATCCGCCGTATCCTCCATCTCCGACAACATACTGCAAACATGCACACCATCATTGCAACCTATTTCCAAAACAGCCGCCATTACTCCGTAAAATCGGCCGACATCACCACTACATCACGCCAAGCTACAGCCGCCTGCGGCGCCGACCTCGGTTCCCTTTTCTGCTCCAACGTCGATCGCAACACCATCCAACTCATTGGACGCTGGAAAAGCGACGCCATGCTTCGCTACCTCCATGTCCAAGCCCAACCAGTTATGCAAGGCTTCGCCTCCATGATGCTTCAAGGCGGCGAATACGCTATTCATCCTGGCCAGAACCTTGTCCCAATGTACTGATTCCATCCTTTCCCACCACCACCCCGACACCACCAACGTGGGCCATTGGCGGCGATGGCGGGCCGACCTTCCATCAAACGGTCGGCACTTTGGCACGTGGAGTGGGCTTCAGTAAATAGCCACTCATTACACCATTACCGCCATCTCTACTATCTTCTACATACCCCTCCCAATCCGAGCGAAGGACAAACGAGCTGACGTAGCCGTTGATAGACGTCGTAGTGGGGGAGGTGGACGGAGCGAAGAACAAAGTGACTATTGAACGAGCGCGGTGCGCGCAGCAGAGATCCCGCAGCGAGTCCTCAACAACAGCGATCGCATATTCTTGTCTTTTCTCCTTCCTAACGCATCAGGATCGAAGTTGTAAGACATGTCAACGTTGACTAGGCATAGAATAGAAAAAGTTTCCCACCACACCCACCCTCTGGGCCGACCTTCCATCAAACGGTCGGCACTTTGGCATGTGGAGTGGGCTTCAGTAAATAGCCACTCATTACACCATTACCGCCATCTCTACTATCTTCTACATACCCCTCCCAATCCGAGCGAAGGACAAACGAGCTGACGTAGCCGTTGATAGACGCGAGTTTCCGACGAGTTTCCGACGTGTTGCTTATTGACGTTTTCACAATGCCGTTGTTTATCAAATTCTAACTATGCAACTACAATCAGCCAGCAAAACCTCCAACAATACCAGGTGGTCCTAACGATCGATCTGGTTCTACATTCGGGCAAGAATTGAATTGATTGTCCAATACTTGTTTTCAACAGAGCAGAGATTGGGGAGAATAATCGGAAATTGAAGTCACAAGGCCATCAATCAAGATCAACGTCAAATCAAACACGACAACCATCCAAGGACTTCACTAGATATACTTGGTTGCGCTAACGATCGATTTGGTTCTACATTTGGGCAAGAATTGATGGTTCTACGAATACTTTTATAAAACAGAACGGAGATTGGGAAAAATGATCGGAAATTCCAGTCACATGGCCATCAATCAAGAACAATGTCAAATCAAACACAACAACTAGCCAAGGATATCAACTACTATATTAGGCGCTGCTGTCGGTTGTTTTCGTTCTACATTTGGGCAAGAATTGATGGTTCTACGAATACTTCTATGCAACAGAACGGAGATTGTGAGAAATGATCGGAATTTCCAGTCACTAGGCCATCTTTCACGAACAACGTCGAATCGAAGACAACAATCAGCCAAGGATTTCAACTACTATATTAGGTGCTGCTAGCGATTGTTTTTCGTTCTACATTTGGGCAAGAATTGATGGTTTTACGCATACTTCTATGCAAAAGAACGGAGACTGTGAGAAATGATCGGAAATTCCAGTCACTAGGCCACCTTTCAAGAACAACGTCAAATCGAAGACAACAATCAGCCAAGGATTTCAACTACTACAAAAATCGTCAGGGAGAAGGTGTGGAATTATTGTTATGTTGGCAATCTTCTATTGCTGGAGAAGATGCAAAATTATTGTTATGTTGGCAATCTTCTATTGCTGGAGAAGATGCAATCGTCGTTGCACGCTGCTAGACATATGAAAAAGAGTGTAAAACTTATCTATTTTAATTGCTGTATTCTCCATCTTGCGATCCTAGAATTAGTGTGACAAGCATGCATTATTGTATAGTTCTCCACCAACTATACATGCATACATGTCAGCGAGAGCAACGTCCTCTGAACGATGTAGAATGCCTCTGGTCAGGAGAGTGACACAGGTTCTCGTGTACGGCAAGACTGCGATGCCAGACAGCTGCTAGGTTTTACGGCCGCAAAGGCCAACATGCGGACATTGCTATTTGCCTCACGGCGACGACGTAGTCACCAAAAAATCTTCCTTCAAGCATCAAGTCGTAGCAAGCAACTGATGGCATGAAGGGAGGAGTTTTACTCCCTCCAAGGAGACGAAAAGATGAAGGCAACAAACATACAATTTGAGGAGGAATCGAAGAAACAACAATCAGACAAACTACGATCTACGTGCAACAGACAATGTTTTGTGTGTGTTGATGTGTTGGACAACACTGCTGACGAGAAGTTCGGGAACGAGGGAGCATTTGAGGGAACGAGGGCCGTTTCGTCCCTCCTTCAACCGTTTTTCCCCTTGTTTTCTCCCTCGTTCCCTTTCGCAACACGAAACCACCAAAATTTCCCTTCCCCCCTCCACGGTCAGTTTTTTTCCCCCCATACAGGCGAAAAAAAGTACGAGTCAAGGACAGCGCGCCGGCATGGTCGCGGCGTAAAACCAAGATTTCTTTCTAAGTGAATTTTTGGGGTCGTTAAGTAATGTTCATGTCGCGTCCTTTTTTGGGTGAAAACAGGGACAGCCCTTAAGCTAACCTGGTTCATTTTCGGGGAAAAAAGTACATCGCAAGGACATCGACATTTCTTCAGACACTAGG